CCGCCGCCTCCGCCAAGGCCTCGCGCCCGACCGCCCGCAACCGCGTCAAGATCTTTGCCCTCACCGGCCGCTCCACCGACGAGGACAAGCGCCGCGCCTTCCAGACCGGCGCCGACGGCTACATTGTCAAGCCGGTGCGTGGTCATCCGTCCAGACTCCTCGCCTTGCAAAGGACCGCGTACTGACTTGCGTATCTCTGTCCCTCTGCCCATGCTCGCCGTCTCGTCCCTTAGCTGAGCTTCAAGGTGTAGGTGTCCGCGCGGTACGGCGTGCTCGCGATGCAAGCATTGTGGCATTGGAGCTGACCCGACCCGACCCGATTCGCCCCTCTCTTTGCCCTCGCCCCGGCCCCCTCGCAGCCTCTCATCGCTCCTGCGGATGCTGCCGCGGTGATGAGCAGCCAAAAAAGAACAAGCACCGACCGCTTCCCTCATAGACTGGTCTTGATCCCCGGGCGCCACCTCTCTTTCCACCCATCGGCCGCCGCCCGCCGCTCCCCCTTTCTCGCCGCCTTCACGGGATGATTCTATCTACCTACTCTGCCCATGCTTGCCTCTAGTCTCGCCTCGCCTCGCCTCGCCTCGCCTCGCCTCGCCTCGGCTCTCGACCCCTGCATCGACTCCGTCATCCCTCCCTCGTTCATCATCAGGCAACGGCGCAACGACATCCCCCTCTTCCCCCGCAGCCCCATGTCGTCCCGTGTCATTCATTAATGCGAACCCCCCAGCTGGCCCTACCCCCTCCTCCTCTTGTCTGAGTGCGGACGGACCGCGTGTGCAAAAAGAGGCCGTGTCCCCTCGTAGTGAGGCGAGGCAAGGGCAAGAAGGGCAAAAAGTGATCTCTCCCAGGCTCGAACTGAGGACCTCCTCCGATTAGCCAGTCGTGCAGACGGTGCCTACATTGCTTGTTAAGGAGACGCGCTGACCAACTGCGCCAAGAAACCCGTTGATGGCGGCCAGCAAAGTATTAACATTCATGTATACTGTTGGCCTAGCCCGTTTCAGCCACGGCACAGTCGTCGAAGCAGAGGTCAGTCGCCCATCATGTCAGTATGGTGTTGCAGGGGACATCAGTCTTCAGGCAAGGTGCTTGAGCCAGGTTTGTTCTAACCTGATGAGGCCAGCCTCAGACATGCCCTGCAGGTTGCAAAGGCAGCTGCCTGGCGGTCAGGCTGCTTGTGTTGGCGCTCATGCCTGGGTGTGTAAACTCACCTTTCTGAAACTAGAAAGTAGATTTTTCGACCATTCAAGGGCCTGGGTGCTATCTGACTCAAGAGGAGCAGGGTCCGCCTTCCAAGCTTGCGCCCTGATGATGGACACCTGTTGCTGGCATGATTGAAATGCGTCGAGCTTGCAAGTGTTAGGCGGCTGCCCAACACGCCCCCGCGGGCGCCCGAGTCCCAAGGAAGAGCTGGCGGGCGGCGGAGCCGAGCAGCAATTGCCGCAGCCAGCCCCTTGACCACGGAGGGGCTCGAGGGAGCTAGTATGTAGTCCCCCGGCTCCCGCGGAGGCCTCTGATGGTCTCCTTGTCGAATGTACTATATCCTCTGCTCACTAGAGACTGGTACAGCATCGATATCCTTACTCCTCTCCATCCCTGACCTCTCCGCGCAAGCCCTACACCGTCCTTGGCCGCCCGCGGTATCCCAAGACCCCGAGGGCGTAACAGCAAGATGCGTCCACGCTTGGCAGGACCGTGCCTGGAAGCATCTTCATGGGCTTGTTCAGCTTGACAGCCCACCTGGAAGTGTGGCGATCCTTTCCTCTGAGCTCTGTGATGTTGCCGTATGCCCTGTCCAGGACGATCCTTTGAATGATATTGCCATGCACTGGCAGGTTGACCTTCTTGCTGACGGCCTCGTACCAAATGTTGTTGGACACGCCACCACTGAGAGCCTGCATAGTCAGAACGCCCTTGTGCAGGGCCTTGTTGATATTGATTACAGCTCAAATCTGCTCAGGAGTGTACGCCTAGACAGAGCTGCAAAGGAATTCAGATTTGGACCATGGAGAATGGATAGTTGATGTCAGGGCTTTCCTGTTGGTCACAGCCCAGCACCTTGTGCAACCTTGAATGCAAGTGTTTTGGACCATCCTGGTAGCATGGAACAAGGGCTGGCAGTAGGGATGGATGCAGGGAGAGACATATCAACATGGCCATGACCATGTGGCACAGTCTGGTTTCTCAAATGTCTTGCAGAAGGCAGAAATGATGTCTGAAAGATGGCATGCTGCAGATGTCACACATCTCACTCATGACCTGATCAGGTGTGCATCATGTGTTGCAAGAGGCTGCACCAAGGGTGAGGTCAAGCTTCATCACATTCAAGGCTGCAACAGCCAGCTGCTGCACAGACGTGAACCCTAGCCTGCTCGTCAGGCCTGCTGCACAGAGGTGAACCCTAGCGTGCTCGTCAAGCTTGCAGCACTGGCCTTCGCCCCATGTGCAGACCTCCATCAGCCCTTTGAACGGCATCAGTTCTTTCAAGCTTCATCGAACTGCAGCAACTCGTCGGCACGAGAGGACAAGAGTCTGGTCAGTGGCTCGCTCTTCGTTGACAGTCTGACTGCTCACGCGGGGTTCAACATGGAGATCTTCATCAATTCTTTATTCATCATTGATGTATCGCTCTCTGACGATATTGCTGAAGCCAGAAGGCGTACTCTGACCTCAACGTCGAGCTTGTGGTCAACGGAGCGAGCCTGGAGAGGTCTGCTCAACGGCCAATGGACGTCGACACCTCAGTTCGGAACAAACTATCGACCAAAAGTCATCGCTACCTGCTTTCATCTGCCGCGGCAAGCTACCGCCATGACGCTACGTCGTCAGAGCAACGCCCGGAGCTCCTATTTGCGCTCAGACAAAGAGTCGAGGCCCGGCATAACATCGCCCTGCAACAGCGACAGAGACGAGCCCCCACCCGTTGACACGTGCGAAATCTTGTCCTCGGCGCCGTAATCAGCGGCCAGAGTCGCGGTATCGCCGCCTCCAATGATGCACGTGGCGCCCTTTTTCTCTGCCTCGAGGCAGGCATCGAGCATGGCCTTGGATCCCTTTGCGAAGTTCTCGAACTCGAAGACGCCGGCGGGGCCGTTCCAGAGGATGGTCTTGGCGGCGAGGATGGTCTGGGCGAACTTCTTGCTGGTCTCGGGGCCGCAGTCGAGGCCCATCCAGCCGTCGGGGATGCCCTCGGCGTCGGTGGCGCTGCCGACCTTGGCGTTCTTGTCGAACTTGTCGGCGGTGACGTAGTCGACGGGGAGGACGAGCTCGACGTTGTTCTTCTTGGCCTTGGCGACGATGTCGGCGACCTTCTTGCTGCCCTCCTCGTCGAAGAGCGAGTTGCCGATCTGCGCGGAGGGGGAGGGGGCACGAGGGGAAGGGCGCGGGGCAAAGGGAGGCAAGGAGATTGGTCAGACATGGAACCTCGCCAAGGGTCTACGACGCCCTGGTGCTGCGTACCTTGACGTTCTCGAGCGTCTTCTTAAAGGTGAAAGCCATGCCGCCGCAGATGATGAGCGAGTTGACCTTGTCGAGCATGTTGTCGATGAGCTGGATCTTGTCCGAGACCTTTGCGCCGCCGAGGATGGCGAGGAAGGGCTTCTCGGGGCTCTCGAGGACCTTTGCAAAGTACTCGAGCTCCTTCTTGACGAGGAAGCCGGCGGCGCGCTGGGGGAGGTTGACGCCGACCATGGACGCGTGGCCGCGATGGGCGGTGCCAAAGGCGTCGTTGACGTAGACGTCGCCGAGCTTGGTGAGCGAGGCGCGGAACTCTTCGACCTTCTTGGGGTCGGCCTTGACCTTTTCGCCGGCCTCGTTGGTGCCCTTGCCCTCCTCCTCGATGTGGTAGCGGAGGTTCTCGAGGAGGATGACCTGGCCGTCCTTGGCCTCGGCGACGGCCTTTTCGGTCTCGGGGCCGACGCAGTCGGGGAGGAACTTGACGTCCCTGCCGAGGAGCTTGGAGACCTCGGCGGCGACGGGCTTGAGCGAGTACTTTGCGACGGGCTTTCCGTCGGGGCGGCCCATGTGGGACATGAGGATGACGGCCTTGGCGTTCTGCTCGAGGGCGTACTTGACGGTGGGGAGTGCGGCGACGATGCGCTGGTTGTTGGTGATCCTGTCGCCGTCCATGGGGACGTTGAAGTCGACGCGGACGAGGACCTTCTTGTCCTTGAGGTCGACGTCGGTGATGGCGAGCTTGCTCGAGAGCGACATGGTGGCTAGTCGTCGATGTGGGAGGGTGCGGGAAGCGTGTCTGCAGAGGGAGGCGAGGATGGTGGCAGTGAGGTTGGTGGTGGTGGTGGTGGTGGTGGCGGTAAGAAAAGGAGATGAAGAGAAGGCAGGAGAAGCAGCCAACGTGAGGCCCGGGCGTGAAAGCAGCGAGAGGGCCGGGCAGGCGGGCGGGCGGCGGCGGCGGGATAGAGGGGCTGATGCCCCGAGCGCCGCGCCGCGCTGCCTGTCGGTCCTTCCGATATCATCACATCGCATCGCCGGGATCTTTCCGCGGCCGACTTTTTTTGGCGGGCTGCAGGGCCCCTTCCGACCCCGCCTGGCTGGCCTGATCGCTTGTTGGGCGCTCGCTGCACGGACGCCCTCCCAACCCGCATCCTCGCTATCGGCCGGCAGACGACGCCATGCGCCTCCACCTGACCGGGTGCCAGCTGAGTCTGCCACGGAAAAGGGCGGCGAGTGTTGGTCTCTTTGCTCTCGCTCTTCTTCGCGACATGGCTCCGCTCCTCCATCATCACTTTCGCATCGCACCCGACAGCATCGGCAACGTATTGCTCGCCCACGTCAAGTCGGAGAAAGCGGCAGGAGTATTCCCCCCTCCGCCCGTTGACCGCAGCATGCCATGCGCTTCCGCACCTCGGTGAAGGATGTCTCCATATTCACCCGGGTCGTTCGTGAGTGGACGAGGGCCAGACCAGCTGTGCAGAGACAGTGACAAAGACCGCTGATGCCATTCGAGCCCACTCCTCGCTCCTGCCTCACTCAGAGTCGATCGGCAAGGTCGCAAATCGATGTGTGATCCAGCTGACTTCGGAGCAGATCCGCCTCATCTGCACTGGCGATAGTGATGGCGCCCAGATCTGGTCGTGAGTGGTGCTCTGCCGCACACGGACAGCCTTGCGCAAAGGCGGCTGACCGGGTGGACTTCGCTCTCCCCTCTCGTCGCCCCCATTCCCTATAGCCAGATGACAGTGGTGCGTCCGACGTCTTCGGCCAGCGCACCCGCTCTGCTCGAGTTGAAGCCCTGCCCTGACCCTACCTTCGCGATCCCCGCCCCCCTCTGCCCCCCCTGCCCGGCAGGACTCGCTCTTTGAGGACTACCGCATCGAGTCCAACTTTCAGAACCAGATCAACCTCGAAGTGTCGCCCGACACCCTGCTCCGCGCCCTCCGCTCCGCCAACAACGCTTACAGCGTCACACTTCGCCTGGCCAAGCGCAACAAGGATCCGCTTCTCTCCTTCGCCATCTCGGCGCAGAGCCACACCGGCTCCAACATCGAGATCGTCCAGGACGTTCTCATCAAGGTGCTCAAGCCGACCGAGTTCAGCAAGATCAAGGAACCTCTCTGCCCTGCTCCCGACGTGAGTGCGCAGCAACTGTCGGGACGAGGCACGTCGCAGGCTCGGTGCTGACCCTTCCGCTGCTGCTCTGATACCGACGCGCCGCGCCGAAGGTCCACATCGTGCTGCCCAAGCTCGTCAACCTCCGCACCGTCGTCGATCACATGCGCTCCCTATCCGACATCCTGACGGTCTCGGCCAACCACGAGGGCAACCTGAAACTCTCGGTGGCCGAGGACGAGGTCAAGCTCGAGACCACCTGGTCCGATCTCGCACACCCGCACATCACTGGTGAGCGCGGCGAGGCGCAGCAACGAGCCGTCGATGGCGAGATGTGTCCAGCGAAAGCGTCGACTGACGACCGGCCCCTCTGCTCTTTTGTTTTTTCGCCTCCTGCTCGGCGCCCTTTCCCTCCCGCTCGTCGCCCTTTCCCTCCCGCTCGTCGCCCTTTCCCTCCCGCTCGTCGCCCTTTCCCTCCCGCTCGTCGCCCTTTCCCTCCCGCTCGTCGCCCTTGCCCGCCCCGCAGCCTCGCAGAACCCGGAGCAGACCTCGGACCCGTCCGAGTACAAGAGCGTGATGCTCGACATGAAGTCGTTTCTGCGCTTCCTCTCGAGCTACGTCGTGGCCACGACGACGATCGCGTGCATCTGCTCCAACCACTGCGCCATCTTTTACGTCTACATCGGCGACGTCGAAAAGAGCAGCGGCGTCATGACGGTGAGTGCGGCAATCGTGTGTGTCCCTCGAGGCGGCGCTAGAGAGTCTCGGCGGCTGAACGTGACCACCACCGCCGCTCTGCTTTGTCCCGGGCATTCCAGTTCTTCCTCCCTGGCATCGTCCGAGAGGACTGAAAGTGGGCGTCCCGTCTGCCGCGCCTATCAACCTATCGCGCACATTGCCGCATCGATACCCCTTTGCGCTGCACCCAGGTACCGCCTCATCACAGCCTAGCGAGCCGAAAATCGAATCCATGGCGAATGTCAGAGCGCCTTCTGCTGGTGCGCGGCATACAAGTTCATGAGATTCTGCTACAAGTACAAGGGGTTGCGAGGGGGTTTTGCATGGAAATAAGCGGCTCTCAGCCGTCCTGGAGCGCGCGGAAGAAGGAGTTGTAGGCGCCCTCGACGTCGAAGAGCATCTGTGGGTGCAAGAGAGGGCGGCGTCAGGAGCGAGGTCAGTCGGTCGGTCACGCGGAAGTTGAAGGCGAGGGCTAGGAGCATGGACCGAGCGGACTCACCTGCCGTGCCTGGTCCTCGTCGATCTCGTCGCTGGCCTTCATCTGGTTGAGCTTGATGAGCCTGCGAGGGATGGAGACGGTCGAGCCTGGTCAGCCGTCGCAGCTCGTCTCTCCTCGCCTACGTTGGTTTTCTGGGCCGCCTCGGTCGACTCACCAGTTGAGCAGCTTGGCCCTGATTTCTCCGCCGTCCTTGTCCTTGGACACCTCGTCGCTCCTGCTGTAGCCGCGCATCAGCTCGCTGAGGAGCGGGTGCAGCTGGTCCTTTGCGCGCAGCTTGAGTTTGAGGGCGTCCATGAAAGTGATGAAGTTCTGCGTCGTCTCGGCGACCCACTTTGCCCTCTCGCTCGAGGTCTGGGACGAGGACGAGGATGCGTGTTCGACGGTGGCGGGTACGCCGATGCTGAGGCGGTGGGCGGCGGCCGGGTGGTCCATCTTGTACAGCCGCATAAAGTCTGCGACGTCGCGGATGGGGTGCGACGATGCGGCCTCCTGATCGACGACGAGCTTGAGGATCGTCTTGTACTGCGCCAGGAGGCGGGTGCAGGCGGGCGCGTAGTCTGTCTCGCGGATCGACTCGCGCACGTAGGCGCGCTCGAGGTAGTCGAGCGTCACAATGACGCTAAAGAGCGTCGACATGTTTTCGTACCGCTCCCGCTCAAAGTTGGTCGTGTACAGCTGCGCCTCCTCGTACGGGTTGATGGTCGCGCCCGAAGAGTGCATCCCGGAGAGCGAGGCCATCGTTGCAAGAGCGTCGTTCCTCGCGCGCCGCCAGTCGATTATCGGGGCAAGGCGTTTACCGGTGCTGCTGCTGTTGCGGCTGCGCCTGCGTCTCTGGATGGCGGTCAAGTGCCACAAAAGGGGGAGAGAGATAGCGCTGTGCCTTGTCGAGTCAAGATCCGACGTGACGGCGAGGAAAGGGGGCAAGCGGGTCGTCGTCGACCAGCCAAGCGAGGGCAGTCGGAGGCCTGGATGGTGGTGGTTGCCAAGGTCGGCGTGGAGAGGGCCGGCCACCCGAGGCACACGGGCCAAAAAGGCGCCTGCCGGTCTGCGGCTGCGGCTGCGCCCGGGCCAACAAATCTTGATGCCTCCACCTTGGACGGGCCCGCCAAGCACAGCCGGCTCGACCTTCGCCTCGGTGCAGCATGCTACAAATCATCCACCACCGGGCAACGCAGCGAACGGACATCAATCATGTCATTACGCCGAGAGCCCTTTTGGTCACGATCCGATGCGCGGGATATCATACGGTGACCGCCCCGACGCCGAGCGAGGCGTGCGGCGTGTGCCGAGGCGGCGGAGCCACGGACCAGACCTCGCACCGACGATGTGCAAGAGGGGGTAACGAGAGACAAGAAACCATCGTCGCCTCAAGGGCCGCACAGTCGGCCTCGGTCGACGCAGCTAGAAAGGCTAGGCGGGGTGGCTGAGCATCGACTTGGCCGACAGGCTCATCTGGACGAACCTGACGAAGCGTTCGCCGTGATCTTCTTCCTCGTCGTCGTCCTCGTCCTCGTCGTCGTTGTCCTCGTCCTCGTCCTCGTCCTCGTCCTCGTCCTCATCGGAATCTTCGTAATCTTGCTCGCCGTCGTCGGACAGGCCTCCCACCTCTACAGCCCTCGCCTTGGGTTCGCCGCCGACGTCGAGGTCGCGGTGGTCGTCGCCCGTGTCAAGATCTGCGCGCAGCGGGTTGCTGCGGCCGTAAAAGGCGCCTCCCTTGGCCTCGGAGCCGCTGCCGTACTCCTTCACGTCCGTACGGGCCTGCTGTTGGGGAGGGGATCCAGGAACTGTCTTCCTCTTCAGTGAGCTGCCAAGGCTGGAGCCGCTCCCTTCGCTGCTGAGATAAGCCGGTTCCCGCGCAGTGCCAGAAAAAGGAGCAGGCGTCAAAGGGCGGCGTCTGGTATGCTCCGAGTCCCTCGTTGCCTCAGCAGCGCCAGACGCGTCAGCGGAAGTCGAAGAGCCAGGCCCAGGCTGCTGCGTTGCCTCTGCCACCTTGCGTTTCTTGCCTTGACGGGTTCCCGATGCAGCAGGGGCAGACGCGCCATCGCGGACCTTGAACATGTCTTCAAGGAACTTCTTGGTGACGGCCGGCGTGTACGCCTCATAGACATTGTATGTCGACTTGTGCGCAAAGAAAAAGCAGGGTGCGGTGCGGCGCGAGTGAGCGCCAGCCAATTGCATCCGTCTTTTCTGACCGAGGGCAGGCGTACCTTTATGTGCAGCAGGAACCATTGCCACACGTCGGCGTCGATGAGTCCTAGCCTGATCTCTGTGCGGAGCAGCTCCTTTTCGTCATCGCTCGTGGTCGAGGGGGCTTGGTGCGAGATGAAGAATGCGTCGACGATGGCCTGCAGCCTCTCGTGACGCGCATCTGTGCTTGGCGTGGCGAGCATCCAGGCGCCTCTCTCGAGCGTCCAGCCGACAAAGTCGAGGAGCGGGACGACGCGTCCGTGGAACACGGCAAAGCGCGCGCTGTCGAAGCTGCCAGGGTGGGCAAATGCTGCGCGGCTCGTGTCGGATGAGCTGCTGTCCTCGGTCTGGCCCTGGGAATGGCGCCGAGGCAGACGGCGGCTGGCGCCAGGGGACTTGGGAGACACTCACTTCTTGTGGATGGCAGCGTTGAGCCAGAACCCGTTGGCGGGCGTGTCGATATCGTCGAGTAGGTCCGGCTTGATCCTCGGATCAAAGAGCGAAAACCCTTGCATGTCGAGACTGCGGACTGCGTCGTCGATGAGCGTGGTGTCGTGGTTGTCGATGAAGCTGGACTGACGCCGAGTGTCGGTGGGCTCTGTGGCCCAGGAGCTCACGAGTCTGATGAAGTGGTCTCCGACTATGGCCGGGATGATGTGAGCTGCTTCCAGCTCGGATTGGGAAGGGCTACCTTCCTTGGTAACAGCGCATCGCGGCGCTGTGCCCGGCCGGGAGCGCCCAAGGCGGCCTCGTAGACGCTGAGCGGTCCTTGTCCGGGTGCGGGCGTTGGGATAGTTGACGAGTGATGGTGGTGAAGTTGCGAGCTCTGCAGAGATTGTGACGATGACGCCGAGAGGAGCGTCGAGTACGCTTGTAGCGAGTTGGCGACGGGGCGTTGCTGGACGCGCTCCTGTACGGCTGGGGTGCCGAAGCCGTCGAGGTTGAAGGGAGCATCCGAGGCCACGAAGAAGTCGTATAGGGCCACGGCGATTGAGGTGGTGCGAGGACGAGGGAGGCGCACCGAGATACGGAAACGCTTGCCTCGATTGTCGGTCGATGAGGGCAGCACGGGCAAGATGATGGCGGTGTCGCCAGACATGTTGGAGGTGATGGCGGTGCCAGGCTGTTTGGTCTGGATTGCCTTGAATGCTGGTGTGGTGTGCAGATCCAGGCAACCAGAGGTAGGCAAAAGCAAGCAGGCCAGGCAAGGCAAGGCCAGGCCAGGCCAGGCGAGGCTATGCTGTCTTGTCACCACAGGTGTGAGAGTGAGGCTCTTGTGAGGAGAGGCAGAGACGGAGAGGCGGAGAGGCGGAGAGGCTGCCGCCTGCGCTGCGCTGGCAAAAAGGGTCCAACATCGGTGTGCCCGCGTGCGTGGCATCCCGCCGCCCCGCTTTCCCCTCGGATTCAAGACTGCATCTGCCAACGTGGAAGCTGACCTTGCTTGCCTTTCTTCTTGCTGCCATCCCGTCGCCACCAGGCCCAACCCTCGACAGCAACACCACACAATGACACCACCCCCCGACACCCCCGAATCGATACCGCGCCACTCGATCAGGCTCCGCCACCAGCCCGGCCACGGCCACGGCCCCGCACGCAACCCCGACCACGATCCCGCCCCTCACGACCGCTTCCCATCCCACATGCAGGCCGCCACCGACTCTGGCGCCACCGACTCCCACTTTGACTCGCCGCCCCAGGGCCAACATCCCTTCCGTCCCTTTCCCAGCAGCAGCAGCAGCAGCAGCGGCGGCGGCGGCACCATGTCGCTTCACCACTCGGCGCCACCCTCTACCCCCGGCAGCGCACCCATGAGCCGCGCTCCCAGCCTCTCGGCCCTCGACATCTCGGCCGACGTCGGCGAGGGCGTGCTCCTCTCCATCAAGTGCCCTTCCCTCGTCCGCGACTCGGCCCGTATCCGATTCCATCCCGACACCACCGTCCTCCAGATCAAGCAGAGCATCGAGAGGACCTGGCCCGGAAAGCCAAGGTCCCAGGGCCTGCGCTTCATCCGTGCAGGCCGCCTCCTCGCCGACACAGAGACCGTCGCCGAATTTGCCGTTGGCGTGAGTGCAGTCTCTCGAGCGGTCCGTGGTGGTGGTGGTGGTGGCAGTTGGGGCAAGCCGCCTCTGCCACCCGCTTCCTCTCTCCCTGGCGCTCTCTCTCTCTCTCTCTCCCTCTGAGCAGACGGCCATGTACTCACACGACGACCCACATCCCGCCCCACCTTGCCTTGCCACGTCACACAAAACCTCCTCGTACGCACGCTCCCCTCCTCGCTCCTGCCTGCTGCCAACGCTCGGGCTCTACCCGCACCATGATTGCCCATCTATCCCCTCTTTTCACCACCGATCGGCCGTTCAGACCGACCCCAGCGAGCCCGTCTCGGTGCATCTCGTCATCCGGCCAGACGCCTGGCTCGACCCAAAGAACCGCCCGACCCCCTCGCGACGCAGCTCCTACCTCCGCCAGGTCCCACTCGCTTCGCCCCTCTTGACGCCTGGCCTCCGAGACATCTCGTCGTCCTACTTCACCACCCTGCCCACGTCGTCGCCCCTGCAGTCGCAGAGGACATCGCCCAGGGCCCAGCCCACGCCCCTGCCAGAAGATCGACCCGTGCCATCCGGCAGCCACAGCAGCGTCAGCACAGCGAGCACCCGCAGCAGCGGCGCAACGCCAGTCCACGCCCCGTCGACCACCCGGCCCGGTCGTCTATCCCGCCAGAGCAGCCGATCCGGTGACGGTGCCGACATGCACGGCTTCGGCGGTGGCATGTGGTGGAACACGGCCGTGGCCGACTTTGCCCTGCCCGCCAGGATGACGACGGCGTCATCGATGCCGCCGGCGAGCGACGACCACGACAAGTTCAGGCAGATCCTGATGGCGACCGCGCCTGCCAACTACCCGCTGCTCGTCGACTCGGCTACGCTGCTGCACGATGTCTACCTGGAGCGATATCGGCGCCTGTATCGAGCAAGCCAGAAGGGCCAGCTCAGCGGCGAGGCTCCCGTCTCGGCACTCGCCGGCGATGGCGACGGGGAAGAGAGCGACGACGACAACGCCGACGAGGACGAGGATGTCCTTTCGCTCGCGCAGTCCGTCGAAGACGAGCTCTTTGGCTGGGAGCCAATCGATATGCCGGCTCTCGACCGCCGACCGGACGTCCCGGGCGGAAAGGAGCTCGAGTATCTCTATCACGAGGTGCAGTGCAATGGCCTGCCTTACCTACTGCAGCTCGCCGTGACGCCCTCGGATCGACAGAGGAGCGCGGCCATGTCCCAGCTCCTGGGCCGGATGGAGCGTCTCGCCTCGACGATCAAGCTGCTCAACAGCCTGACGATGCACGCCAGCCTCTTGGCGGGAGCCGCCGACGTGGCGCCGTTTGCACCTTCGGCCATGTCCCCAGCCTCCGGGACGGCGCTGTCGCCCGATCTGCACGCCCAGCTGCCAGCAAGGGCAGCAGTCGCCGCAGCGGCTCCACCGCCGCTCGGAGGCGCCGATCCGCAGAATCCTCAGCCGCGGGGTCGCGCTGCCGCTGCGCAGCTCGTCCCGGTGGCCTGGCGCTCGACGTTTGCGGGCCTGGCCGAGCTGACGTGGAACGAGATCTTTTCCATGACGGTGCCCCTCTTCTTCCTCGGTCTCAAGCTCGGCATCTTCCTCTACGTCTTTGGGCGCGGGGCGTCGGACATGAAGCGCTTTGCCATGATGGCGGCGGCGTCGATCTACGTCGTGTGGGAGGCCGTCAAGCTCGTCAAGCGCAGGACCGAGATGCGCCTCG